ATATATATATATATATATATATATATATATATATATATATATATATATATATAAACCATTTGAAAATAATATTTAAAGACATATACAGTACATGCGTATACGACGTATAAGATGCAAGGCAAATATGTTATTTTTTACTTGGTGCACCAAAATTATGTCTCTAAGAACTCATCACATGTTTAAAACTAGATGACAAATTTTTAGAAATAGTTTTTTTTCTGTTCTTCGCCCCCTTCTTTGCAGATAACGTATTGAATGAGTCACAACAAAACAAAACCAAGAAGTATTTACAGATTTGTGTTAGTAGACAGTGTGCAGCAAGACTTTCCACATCATTCCATGTTTATCCGCAGTCTGTAGAGGCGTCCCTCCGGCCTGACACACCCACTCAAAGGAAGTACTATTTCTGCCTGGTTTTCTCCATGTCTTCAGGTGAATGGAGTGCCATAAAGCAGAAGCCTTTCCTGCCATGGAGTGCTGTTTTTCAGCGTGTCAGTACAAAAGCAGCCAACCATGGGATTGGGGGTTCTGATCGGGCTGGATCCTGTAACTGGACTGCTGCATACCGGCCCATCACTGATGGTCAGGGTCGACCAGCCTGTCAATCAAAGTGGTCAGCCTGCTGCTTTATTATTCAAGCGCAGTGCTTGTGGGTGAATGGAAAGGAGGAAAGGGGGCAGGACTTGGACTGCAGTGGCAAAATGGAAGACACCTCAGCCTGCAGTGTGAAATGAAGGTATAAATGAGGCCGAATGGAGGGCGACTGGTTCTGATGAGAAATAACTCTCCCGAGCTGCTGTTTTTGTCAGATGAAACTAAATGCAATATTCCATAACCTACAAAACATTTTTATCCTTCATAAACAACACTACAATCGTCCATATTGATTAGAGGTAACATACTCATAAGTGTCACGTGGAGAGAGACTCGTATAAAACCCCTCAGCCTGTCAAATTAAAGCGAGATATGACTCTCCAGTGAGGGTGCAAAAGTTCACCAGAATGAACACCCAGGTAGCCAGCGCAATCGATCCAATTGCGGCTGAGTGTCGGCTCACTCGGCTGTGTTCTGGCAGCACTAGCTCTGCCCCAGTAATGGTTGCCAGATTTGGCTAGGCTTTGGATATGCAGATTTGGCCTGATTTGCACTGGAACATGGCACATTTAGCCACATTCGGCTAGATTATGGACCATAAGGGCTGGTCCGATTTTGGCCATGCAGACCCGGACCAGTTTGAGATTGACAAGGTTGAGTGCTGGGGGTGGGTCTCCGTTTACAAAGTGGTAAAATAGTGTGTAGCAGTGACACTTAAAACATAATGACCCGGTTTCACAGACAGGGCTTAGACTAAACCAGGATTAGGCCATAGCTCAATTAGGACATTTAAGTAATTTTTATAAACGTGCTTAAAAAAAAATACTGGTGTGCTTTTTGAGACAAAACAAAGGCACTGATATATTTTAAGATCAGTCAGTGCAAGTTTCTTTCAGTTGAAACAGCTCAGACTTACATTTTAGTCTAGGACTAGGCTTAAGCCTTGTCTGTGAAACCGGGGGTATATCTTTTACCTGCCCATGTTATTTATTAGTCTATTTTTTATTTTAATTCCTATTAATATTTTTTTTCGGCATCATATGACCCCTTTAACTACATTTGAAAATTAATGATTTAATTATAATAATGAAATATATTTCAGTTTCAATATAATGAAAGAAGCTTAAACTGGTTAAGGGAACTTTATCATTATTTTTGCTATATGAGTTTCAAGAGACAAATGTAGTAGCTTTGACATCTAATGACAAAACCTGACAGGCTTTTTGTGCTGCTAATTTCCAGAAGACCAGAAGAACTTGCTACCCTGGTGAGTAAACATTTGATAATCTAACATATTCTAACATATTATATCATTTGAATAAACCGTTCTACACATATATACTGTTTATTTATAATGAAGCTATATGTGAGTTCGCTGACATAGTGCTAGAGTTGAGCTCCAAGCATAATCAAGCACACCTGATCCAGCTAATCAAGGTCCTCAGGATTACTAGAAACTTCCAAGCAGGAGTGAGTTGGAGCTAAACTGTGCAGGGCTGTGTCCCTCCAGGAATTGAGTTTGACACCACTGTATTGCAACTGATCTTTTTGATCTTTTCTTCAATCAGTGCAAGGAAATGCAAGTACTGGCAGTGCATCAGATGCAGAGATTTAAAAGTTCATCAAAAGATGGCTGCTGCTCACTTTGGACAGAGATGGGGCAAGAAAAGAGCGGGCCTGAATGCAAAACAAATTCTTCCAAAGGTATGTTCCAAATGTTAACATTTACCAGAGTTACCATTCATGTTATCAGTCTGAGATTGTCTGAATAACCATATGTGTCACTGAGTAAGTTTACATGGACAACACTAATCTGATTTCAACACGATTAAGACAATACTCTAATTAAGAATCTACCATGTAAACAGATATTTTTGATAACCTAAATCGGGCTAAAGTCATATTCTAAGTAAACTGAAATCGAATTAAGACATGTGGAGTATTCCTATTTTAGTCGCATTACTGAAGTGCAGAATAGACATGTAAACACCTTAATCAAATTATTACCATTGTGTAATAGTTGAACCACTTGAAGCTTTCATAAAATTAAAAATGACGCACCCAAAAATATACATGGCATCATCACAAAGATGAACTATGTTTATACTTGAAATTCCGGATGGGACATCGGATGGCGTCACGTCGGATGTAATGATGTGTGTGCCATTAATCGAACTATGTACTATGACATGAAAGACCGGAACATGAAAGGAATATTCTTAAAGCAACTCATGTAAACACCATAATCATAATATTGGCTTATTTAGAATAAGGTAAATAATTAGATTACTGATGTCCATGTAAACGTAGTCATTGTCTCATCCCCTTTTTGTCTCTCTTTCTGTCAATCTGTTCATCATTTAGGGTACACTTACACTTTTTACACTTTTTTTTTTTTTTTATATAATATCACTCACATTTTTATATTTGGGGGGAGGAGCACATATGGATGTTATGGGGTAATTCATGGTGTAGTAGGTGGGGATGCCATGAAAAGAAATGCCAAGAAAGCCAAACCTTTAATCTTTGTAAAGGTGACATATTTATGCATAAGTACATGTAGGCTTAACAAGGATACATATATAATACATATTTTAGTTTAGTTGGAAGTAGATGCCATCTGAAGGATTTTAAGGTAACAATGTCATTTTGTGGAAAAACAAATTATTCAAAGCTCTGGTTTTATATCAAAACTGGAAGGAGTTTTTAATACACATATTTTAGAAGTTGTAATTCTGTGTGTATGTGTGTGTGTGTATATATATATATATATATATTATTCTTAGCGGCCAAGACTAGTACCGGCTAAGTGTCATCATGATTGTGACCCAGTGTCGGCTCAGTTTCAGTACCCAGCTAAGTGTACCATTTTGGTTGGCGTGATTGTGGCCCAATGCCGGTGGTCTTGGCCTAGTTTCAGTACCCAGACTCGGCCCAGTACTGGCTAAGTGTTTAAATTCTTGTTGGCGTGATTGTGGACCAATGCCGGCAGCTGGACTCAGGCCAGTGTATTTGGGACGATTCTGGGGCGTCATTCAGCCCATGTCCATGCTGAGTCTGGCAACCGCAGCCGGGCCGAGTTATTTCTTCCGGACTGCTGGATATGGGCCATTATTGGGCCAAACTGTTTTGACTACCTGGGCGGTTTTCTGCAGAAATCTTCTTGCCTATCTTTTGTCTGCGAATTAGGAAGGTCTTATTCCCTCTTCAGGGCAATGGATTACCAATCCGATCTTAAATGGGCATTAATTGGATGGGAGAACGCTTGGGCTGGTGCTTTTGCCCCTTGAGATTTCAGGGTGTACAGGAGCTCCAGAAGAATAATTTCTCCCATTAAGAGTTTCCTGTCAGAGCAGCTCTCATGCATGATCACAAAACCAGACTTTTGACTATCGGCATGTCCGGTCCACTTTGCAACAGAGCCAGAGAAAACATTCATCTGAATGAAATGTAACGTGACAACAAACAAATGTATTTAAAAGAATAATTACTTAATTTAAATAATTATCACATCTTCCTCGGGTCACACACAACTGTTATATTATTATTATTATTATTATTATTGTTTTTAATTTAGCTTCATTTATTTATTTATTGCTGTGGGACATGAAAGGACTTGTGTGTATATACATTTAATCATTTGGCAGATGCTTTTATCCAAATTGACTTACAAATGAAGAATATAACAAGCAATTTATCATAAAGAGGCAAATATTACATAGTAGCAGAGTAACACATTTAAAAAAAATGAAATACAGCAAAAATCTCCAAGAAACTTGTGTAAAGCCAGACCATAAAATTAGACCTTGCCATTTTGAGAAAACTATAGGCTTTTTGGTGAGCAACATCACACAGTGAGAACGGACTGTGAGCCAACCTTCTCCCCGCAGTTGTAAAGCGGCTGAAAAGAGTTATTGCTGTGAATTAACGTGGTGACCTCTATTCTTTTTATACCCTCTTTCTTTAATCTATCTTGGATGCTCAGTTCCCACTTTTATGTTATTGCAGTTATTAGGATCTATTATTCGTATACAGTTTAGCTCCCGAGGCGCTTCGCTTTAGAACTTGTTCTGCCATCACACATAGTCAAGATCTGATTAAATGGGCAAGAGTGGAGAAAGGGGAGTGAAAGTAAATAGACTGAGACTGAATGGACTTGAAATTGGTTGCTGTCATTGTTTGAAGAGCGTGACACAGTGACACAAAACACTAGCCTCCCTCCTTCAGCCAGCAGTTTTTCATTTTCCATCTCCCAGACCAAACAGATTTGATTGGGTTTTTGTGTCCCATTATTTTTAATATATAATCCAAGCAAATTGATTTTTCCTCCCCCTTGTCCCCTATTTACACCAGTAAAGACCATTTAAGGCTGATTTTGAAGCTTTTGAGATGGCATGTTCCACCTCCCCTGAGGGCATTTCCATATATTGTGCAAAAACACTTTCTTATTACGTTTAAATTCAACATGAAATGGCATTAAAAACCCATTTTACTTCACTGTTGTGACACATTACTGAGCAAAACAGATATTATGACCCTATATGTATTAATACACTGACATGTAGATGCATGTATACTGTATATGCAGTGTGAATCTATTTTCAGACTACTTGCATGTGTCAAATTGAAGTGTTATGTGTATCCAAACAGTCAAGCGTTTTCTTCACCCATTACGTTAGTTGTTATGGATACCAGTAGAAAAAAGCGAGCTGTGGACTGAAATAAAGCTCACGGCTGTGCTGAGACACGCTGGCTCATGTCGGTAGCGCTGAAGTGATGCATTTCCCTCATCAGTCTAATTAAGCTACGTGGCAGTCCTTTGCATACGCCTGTCTAGTGATATTGTTCTAAAGGTCTTTTGCTTTCTGGTGGGGACTGATGTAGTGGATTCCAGTAAAGGGATGTGTAGAAGCCAGTCAAGAGAGCAACAGAGGATATAGTGCACATGGGAGACATATCTGTGACATGGTGACCTCTATATGGTGTTTGCTATAAAATCACCCAGACTGCATCTGCTCTTTATTGAGTTATTAAGGGAAAAAACAACATGATAGATTTTCCTCATGGGAATGAAATAAAAGCCATACCATGATATTGCCATATTTAATTTGGATATAATATGTTGTATTTCATTTCTCAAAGTATGCAATCCATAATTGCAGTGCACAGTCCACAGTGCAGTACATAAATTATAAAATTTGAAATTAAATTGTGTAAAACATTTA